GCACTATATATAGTGTCGTGAATGGGAAAACAAAGAGTTAAGAAAACAAAGAGTTGAGAAAACAAAGAGACACAAGATGATTGATGTTCTTGAATGTCCTTTTTGAATATCTCAACACCCTGCCTCAAGTTGGAGCATGCGGATCTGAAATGCCCAACTTGTGAAGAAGAAATTCAAATTGTCTTTGCCCAAGAGCCTTTGTGAAGATATCAGCTAATTGCGAATTGGTAGGAATGTGAACAAAATGACAATCCACTTCAGTGTGTTTTGTTCGTTCATGAAAGACTGGTTTCTTTGCAATATGAAAGCCGATTGACTGTCACAAAACAATTTTATAGTTTTGGGATGATGCACCCCAGACTTAACAACAAACCCTTTAACCATTTGAGTTCACAAGTAACGACCACCATAGATCTGTATTCCGCTTCTGCGGAAGAACGAGAAACAGTATTTTGTTTCTTTATTTTCCACGAGATTGGAGAATGGCCAAGAAACACCAACCAACCAGTAAGAGATCGCCAAGTAGCAGGACATGCAACCCAATCCGAATCACACCATCCCTGTAGTGTTAGATTACTGTCTGCTCGTAGGAGAATCCCTTGACTCGGGGTACCTTTCAAATAATGGACAACTCTAAGAGATGCTTCCTAGTGCTCATCATGGGGTTCCTGCATAAATTGAGACAACACATGAACAGAGTATGCGAGATCTGGTCGGGTTACGACCAAGTAGATAAGTCGTCCGACAAGACGCCGATATGATGCAGGATTCGAGAAAATTGGGCCACTAGCTAGGTCGAGTTTATGGTTTTGCTCAATATAAGGAACCCTAACCGGCTTGGCCCCCAACAATCATGCTTCAGAGATAATGTCAAGAGTATATTTTCTTTGACATAAAAATAGTCCAAAAGCGCTACGAGCAACCTCAATACCAAGAAAGTACTTTAGAGAGTCGAGATCTTTCATATGCAAACAATCATTTAGATAAGTCTTAAACGTCTTTAAAGCAGCATAATCATTCTCAGAAATGATGAGATCATCAACATAAACAAGTACATTTATCTGAACTCCACCCAAGTGAAGGTGAATAAGGAGTAGTCGGAATAGGATTGTAAGAAATCATATTCTTTCAAGGCCGTAACAAGTTTTGCAAACTAGCACCTTGGTGCCTGCTTTAATCCATACAAGGACATGCGCAATCGACACACTAATTTAGGATCGGATGCCTCAAAACCTGGTAGAAGCTTCATATACACCTCTTCATCGAGATCACCATGCAGAAAAGCATTATGCTCATCCATCTGATGTAGTTCCCAATTTTTAGTCATTTTGGTAACATGAGCAAAAGTTTCAATGTAATCAATGCCTTCTTCCTGATGATTACCAAGAGCCACTAATCTTGATTTGAGTCGTTCAACTGATCCATTTGACTTATATTTGATTCGATACACCCAATGACTCCCAAGAGCCTTTTTCCCAGGTGAGAGATGCTCAAGAGTCCAAGTTTGATTGTCTTCCAAGACCTGAATTTCATTTTTTATAGATTCTTTCCAATCATTGTGTGCCATCGCCTCCTTACAAGATTTTGGTTCCTTTTCAAAAAGAATAGCTGCCAGAAAAGTTCTGTATGGCAAAGAAAAATTGTCACAATTTATGTAATGTGCTAAAGGGAGTACCTAAGGGTGATTGTGGAGACGGTGTGACGGAGGATGAACTTTTAGCAACAGTAGAATTAATAACATAGTCGCGCAACCACACTGAAGGAACTTTATTTCTCATACCCCGACCCATCTCAACATTCTGATCCTGATTATTTGGAACAAGATTACTAGTGTGTTGTTCAGGTTGTGAGCTGAACTTGGGTATGGAGTTTGACTCTAGTTGAGAGGTTGTCTCGTTTGTTGAGCTGGGTTCGGCTTCTTCAATAATTACAGAAAAATCTTCGTGAACAAATTCTCCATGAGGATTGGTAGTCGTATCTGTGAGGGAAAATGGAAAACCATCCTCAAAAAATGTCACATCGCGGTAAACAAAAAATTCTTCGGTGTCAAGATCAAACAACTTCCAACCATTTTTCCCAAATGGATATCCCACAAAGATGCACTTTCGACTCTTGCTAGCAAATTTATCGCCTTTCGCATTTTTATTGTGAGCAAGTAGAGACACCAAAAACACGAATTGTGTTGTAAGATGGAGGACTACCAAAAAGAATTTCATATGGAGTTTTGTTATCAAGCAACGGTGTTGGTATCCGATTTATCATATGTGTGGCCGCAAGAACACATTCTCCCCAAAAATAAATTGTCACATTGGCTTGGAATCTCAAAGCTCTCGCTACATTGAGAATATGTTTATGTTTCCGCTCAACCCTATCAGTTTGTTGAGGAGTTCCCACACAGGAAGTTTGAAATAGAATTCCAGTAGCAGAAAAAAATCATGCAAGCAATTGAATTCAGTATCATTGTTACTCTGAACCACTTTGATTGATTGAGAGAATTGTCTATCAATCATAGCCACAAAACACAAAAAACATTTTGAGAACCTCAGTTTTATCCATCAATAAATAAATCCAAACTGCTCACGAATAATCATCTATTATAGTCAAGAAATAACGTGCATAACAAGAGGATTGGTGTTTGTAAGGACCCCACAAATCATAATGTAGTTTCTCAAATATTCGAGATGCTCTGTTATTACTCAAAGGAAACTTATCTCTAGGTTACTTAGCACGAAAGCAAACCTCACAAGCTTTATTAAAACTTCCACAGCAGTGCCAACAGAAGGAAGTAGTTTTACCACTTTTTCAGATGGATGACCCATTCGTGGATGCTAAAGATTGACTGAAGTTGTCACACCATTTACTGTAAGATGTTGTACTGAATTGATTCCCATGAAGTAGTAAAGTACATCCCGTCTACACCTGTATAATACACATATAAGAGTTAAAGTGGACATTGCTCTGCATATCATCATTTAACTGAGAAACAGAAATAAGATTACAACTTAAAGATGGAACATAAAGAACATGATTAAGAACAATTTTGTCCGTTAATCGAACCAAACCTTCTCGAGTTGCAACCACGCATTGTTTTTCTGTTGGGTAAACCAACATGGCAATGGAATATATCTTTTACATCAGTCATTCGAGTGGAATCACTAGTAACATGACGAGAATTGAAGCCCTAGTGTCAATTATCCACAATCGTGGATCAAATTTACCATTCAATTGATCATCAGCCTTGTTAATGCCCGCAGCTGTTCGTCGTCGGCCACTGATGAGTTTATGCGCAGGTATAAACCTTAGCGACTGATACCATGTAGAATAGAAACAAACAAGAAGGAGAGGAAAAATTGATATATTATGTCTTGTGTGTAAACCTCAATACAAGCACTATATATAATGCCATGAATTGGAAAACAAAGAGATGGGAAAACAAAGAGACACAAGATGATTAATGTTCTTGAATGTCTTCTTGAATATCTCAACACTCTAGATTATGTTTTGTGCAATTTTGAAATTGATCTTCAACAATTGAATCTGGATTGATCATTGTTGCTGGTTGTTATTTTGATTTTCTGTTGAATTTTGGCTTCCATGTCGCAACACATGCAAATGAACACAATGTTGCAGAAGCTTCCTACCATTATTTTGAATTTTTCTAGTCCAGATTGATCATTCGAAACTATCGCTGCAGGTAGAGATGAATCTGGAACAATTTTTAGAAAGAACAAAAATTTCGGCGATATGATGGTTCTTGCCGCTGGCCGAGCTTCCCCAGACTCTGGGTCAGGCACCGTCAACTTCAATCATAAAATGCATAAATGGATGTTTCACTTATGAATATATGAAAAATTATTTTTTTAGTTTTTTGGTAGGAATTAGAGCTTTCTACTTTAGATCTTTGAATATGATCGCAGAGCGGCAGAGAAAAGCAAAAAAAATAAAGACTGAGAAGAAGAACACGTGAAATGACAAAAACGTCATTCATTTTGATAGTGAACAAACGAGGAAGTTGATGAAGGATTAAAAATGTCCAACATTTAATAAGTTTGGTCAAAATGTGACAAAATTTTTTATGGTATATTAAAAATATTCAACCCCTAATAAGTCTTGCACTAAAAAAGAAATTATTATTTCTTTTTTCTGAGGAGACATGTTTTTTTTTCCTCATTTTCCCTCTCTCCTCTATCTAAATGTTACTGACAAAAATCATTGAAAGAACCCAATAAATAAGTTTGCTCTAAGTAAACGGCAAATTATGCTGTGCATCCGTATGCACCATGCATGGTGCATATGGATGCAAAAACGACGTCGTTTTATTAAAAACGCGCGTCTCCCCTTAAAAAAAAAATTTTAGATTCGATTCCCAGCAACAACATATGAACTATAATTCCATAATCGATGAACTATAATTCCGTAATCGATGAACTATAATTCTGTAATCGATGAACTAAAATTCCAGAATCTAATCTATGAATTAAAAATTCCAGAATGAATGAACTAAAATTCCAGAATCTATGAACTACAATTCCAGAATCGATGAACTACAATTCCAGAATCGATGAACTATAATTCCAGAATCAATGAACTAAAATGCCATAATCTATGAACTAAAATTCCAGAATGAATGAACAACATAATGATGTTGCCGGCTCGATCCATTTTGACAGCCAATTCAATAAAAACAATTGGAAGCATTTCATAAACTAAAAAGTTGTGAGTTTCCTTGCAGTGACTTCTTTACTTTGGCATATACGGTAGGTGGAAACAAGATTCCTATAACATCAAGGCTCACGATGACTTCGATCTGTACGTAGCAGAAGCGCAGTGGAGTCGTCGTGACTCGTAGCTTTAATAATATAATATATTACATAAATTAAATTATAATTTATTGATGGGTCAGTCGCCGGCTTTTGTTGAACAAATGCAGTAGTTATACCAAGCCACCACATTTCATCAAATTGAACTTCTATCTATCCAAACTAAACAGTAGTTACGTTATGGCTTTTGTTGCAGTAACTTCTCTAATGAGAACTTTAGAGTTTCAGTTCCTACACCCCCAACCACGAGTCACTCTTTCAAACAAAAAGCAGATTGAGTCTCTTCATGAAAATCTTGGTCGTTTGCTAGTTTTTCTTGATAAATTTGAGAAGAGTGCCGACAATCTTCCGGAGATGAGAGCAGTGACTGAAGGAATTATATATGTGACTGTGAAGGCTGACAATGGCATTCAAGAGGAACTGTTGAGCTTCATCAGGAGCAGTAATAAGAGATTGGATTGCTGGTGCTTGGACTTCATCAGGGGCTTCTTCACTACTGGTTCCACAAAACTTGAAGAAACCTTGCAGCGCGTAGTGGATGACGTTGAAAACCTGGTGCAGATTACTATGTACACCAGTCGCCTTGTCAACTATGATCTCATCCTTGCAATTGGAGGCTCCTCGATCTCCTCACAACATACCTCGCAGGAGGATGCAATGGTAGGACACTCAGAAGAGCTGAATGAGGTAATAAGACAGCTCACTGGTGACAAAAATAAAGCACTCCAAGTAATGGCAGTTGTGGGCGTTGGCGGCATTGGCAAGACAACTTTTGCTAAAACAATTTATGATGACCCTAGAGTCAAATCTCATTTTGATTTATGTGATTGGACAACCATGTCTCCAGAGCATAACAAAGGACAATCAAGCAGTCCCTTAAACAATGAAATGCGTGATGTTCTAGTTGAGCAACGTCGCACAAGTTTAAAGGGCCGTAGGTACCTTATTATTGTGGACGACATATGGACTACTGATGCCTGGGATGATATCCGCAGATGTTTTCCTGATGAAAATAATGGGAGCAAAATATTGTTGACGACTCAGGCTGTAAAGGTAGCCCAGGATGCAGGCTCAGGTGAGTATACTCATAAAATGCGTTTCTTAAATGAAGATGAAGGTTGGGGTTTATTTTGTAAGAAGTTTTTGGAAAAAGAATTACTTAAGAAAGATGCATTCAAAATAATCGGGATGAACATTGTTCGAAAATGTCAAGGTTTACCACTCACAGTTGTGATGATGGCAGAGCTTCTATCTAAAACCGCTAAGTCAATAGGCGAATGGGAAAAAGTTGAAAGGAACTTAGATTCTCTATTGGATTTAGTCCTTCATGAGCAATTTTCAAGAATATTCACACAGAGTTACAACCACTTGCCTAGTCATTTGAAGGGTTGCCTTTTGTATTTAGGAGTTTTTCATAAAGATAGTGAGATTCCAGTTAAAAAGCTTATTAGGTTATGGATTGCTGAGGGATTTGTAGAGACAATGAGTCATAGAAAGAAGAGGCCAGAAGAAGTAGCTGAAGATTATTTGCAAGATCTTATTGATAGAAGTTTAGTTATAGTTAATAAGAGAAGCTTTGATGGTAAAATCAAAACCTGTAGGATGCATGATTTGTTACATGAGTTGTGCTCGAGCAAGGCTAAAAAGGAGAACCTTTTGTACCTCGAAACTATGGGAAGCGGGCATAATTATGGCCACTTTGTTCGATTAAGTGATAAGCGTTGGTTAAGTCTTAAAGTAGTAAATCCAGATTTTCATATTTCCATTTCTTCCAAGCAATTGCGTTCCATTTTATGTTTTAATGGCTCTGGTACGGAATGGTACTTGCGAGCCACCTCTTTTAAGAAGTTAATAGTGTTAGACTTGAGCAAGATTGAGTTCAAGTCAGGTGTGCCTTCAGATATTACAGATCTTGTTTTCCTAAGGTACCTAGAATTAGCCTCAACTATGCTTCTAAACCATATACCTTTGGACAAGAATTGGAATCTACAGACACTAATTATGAGTGGAGAAGATGATGATAAGGATGCCCAGAAGCTGCTGCCTCATGGAATTTGGGATAATTTGCAACAACTAAGGCATCTTGAAATCAACCGTAAGCTGCAGGTTTCTATTGATCTTCTAAAGGTTCAAAAAAACCTGCAGACACTTTATTGGTTGTCTGTCTCACAGTGCACTGAGGAAGTGTTTATGAGAATCCCGGATGTTAAAGAGTTGGGAATAGTTGCAGGAGGACACCAAGTGTGGCCACATGGTTTAAATAGCCTAAATTATCTTGAGAAGCTAAGAGTTGAGGGCTCTGACCACCCTTTACACTTGCCTCCACAGCCATATTATGATATTTTCCCACAAACCCTTAAGGAGTTGACATTTGTGAGTACCTGCATACCATGGAGCGACATGAGTATTATTAGTATGCTACCTAATCTGGAGGTACTTAAACTCAAGAACTTTGCCTGCACGGGACAGGAGTGGGAACTAACTGAGGATCATTGCTTCCGTCAGTTAAAAGTTCTGATCATTTCTCTCACAGATTTGAAGGAGTGGAAGGCATACGGGGAATATCCTTTCCCTGAACTCGAGCGCTTACAACTAAAATATTGCTTGGAGTTGAAAAATATGCCAGATTGGATTAAAGATATCTCACAACTCCGATTAATTAAGTTGGAGTATTGCTATGCTTCCCTTGTTGATTCTGCTAAAAAGATTAAAGAGCGACTTCTGGGCTACCGAATTGATATGGATGTTCTTGACTTCCATACTCTACCAGGTATATATGTCTCTTAACTAATTCTTCTCTTTATTTAATTTCTTTCATCTCCTATTCTTTACTTTTCATAATTCATTTTATGATAAAATACTAGACGAAGACCATGTTGATCCTCTAAGCATAGAAGAAGGTTCTAGTGAATAAACTTGTAGATCAGAGGTCTGAAGAAAGCTGAGTATCCCCATAGTTTAATGGTAAGTCTAGCTCTTATATATTTGTCATATGCAAATTAAATAATAATATTGAGTTCCTCCTTTCCTATTACATATATACTTAATTTCAAATAACCATCAATTTAGGTCTTGGATCGGATGACAAAAAGCAGATCCCTTGGAAAGACAAGTAGCAACCCAAGGAGGCAGAAGCTATTAGATGGAGTGAAGGAAGCTCTAAATTGGATGAAGGAATTAAACCTGGACAGAATTCAGACGCTTTTCAAGTTCTTCAAAGCCTACATCTACAGCATTTAGACTAGGATATGACTGATTGGTTGATTGCACAAATCACAATTTACCTTCACAGTGACTCTAGGGGCGGAGTCCTGTGAGCTTAAAATTAGTCCGACAAAGTTGGGATCGAGTCTCACCAGCGGCAGTGTGGGAGCAACCTCTCTGAGTGAGGGGGGCTCCTTGTGCTTAGTGAGCACCGGTCTAGCCTTTGTGATTAATGTTCAGTTGAGTCACCATGATTTACATCCTCCCAAATGCTCTGTCGGGTCAGGGTGTGGGGGACCTTAAGGTTGGGGTTCAGCCTTTGGAAGAATGTAATATAATACTGTTCCTTATATTTGCGTGGCATAGTCAACAACAAATGAGATTCAAACATGTAACCTACTTTGATACCAATTATCAAGATTAAGCACTTGTTACTATGTCAAAAGTTATAACTAATAGCGAATGTGTAACTTTATTTTTCTTTATATTTGCATAGAGTAAACACCATGTTTTAATGACGAAAAGTTGGACTTCTCTTTCGGGCCACCATTAAACAATTGCATTCTATTTTTTAAAATTTAAAAGACTACACATGCATGTATATATTTAAAATCAAAAAATTGATAATGATAATTATTAAATGAAGATTCCAAATTAGTAACAATATTTAATTATATCATTAATAACTCTATAATCATAAGTCAAAATCTAACGTGGTAATTTATTTATTACACACTTGTATTCATTTTTTAATCAAATCATTAGTGGAACGCTAGCTCTTTTTATAATGTTTATTAGCTGGCATACGACAGCATTTTAAATGTTCACACATAACAACCATATGCACTTAATTTTTTAAATGTAATGAACATTTAAAATTGGAGTGATATGCCAATTGCCAGCTAATGGACATTAGAAAAGGAGCTAGCGTTCACATGCACTAAACAACCTTATGCCCTAAATTCTTTAATGTAGCGTATATAAACAAGTCTTTAATGTCAATTACTCGTATTTATGTACGACGAAGGATATGATAATATGCATTATAGGAAAAATGACTCACCTTGCTGATTCTATGTTTTAATATGCATTAATGATCAAGGACCTTGTAGTCCAATGGTACCATGTTATTTCCCTATGTGGGAGGTGATAAGTTTGAGTCTCAATAGAGGCATTTTACATAATAGTTTGTATCTCCCAACAAATGGTAGTAACGCCATATTATTTACACAGCTCATTTATCTAACACGCAGATAGATCTCACATATTTCCAATGCTCTACACTTCCACACACCAAACCGTGCATTCCCCATGTTCTTACAGTGCTTTGCTATTCAACACACCTTGCACGGCCACCCACAAGTCCATTTTACAGTGCACAGAGTTGTGTGGACCATGGTTCAAAACGACATCGCTTTGATGTTAAAAAAAGAAAATAAAAAATTTTCTAGGGTAACATAATTATTAGTTAGAATAATGTACTTTATGTGTTAGAATGAAATTTCTGATGTAAGATAATGTATTTTATGTTAGAATAATGTATTTTAATGAATTAGAATAATGTATTGAAAAAAAGGTCAAATAAACCCTTGAATTTTACTCAAAAGTGCAATTAGGCTCTTGAATTTTAAAAAGTGCAATCAAACATTCGAACTTATCAAAATAAGTCTTTGCAAGTCTAATTTACCGGTAACCAACAGGTTAGCAATAAAATTATTGACATTGCCCACCGTTGAAAGTCACTAATCACTGTTAACCGCCGTTGAAAAAAAAAACATTTCTTGTGACCATTTCCACTGGAAAAAACGACGTTCGACCGTCTTCTCCAACGGGAGACGACCGGACTGGTCGTAAGACAACAAGATCTGGTCGCCTTCTCCACCAGAGAAGACGACCGACTAGTCGTCTTCTCCGGTTGAGAAAGACACATGCTATATATATAGGAAAAGGTTCAAATGCGGCGACACCCTCCCGTGCGGTCGTGTGACGGTTTTCAGAATACACCAATAGTGTTAAAAATATGCACCAACAGTGTAAGAGAAACACACAACAATGAAATGCAAAAATATATCAAAAAATACACAACACACCCAAAAAAAAAACACACCATATAACTCCCTACCACTAATGATGTATTCCCGAACACTGTATGGTGCTTTTAGTCATACATAATGGTGTGTTTTAGGTGATGCGTACCTAATTTGTGTGTTTTTTTGTAGTGCATTTCCTAACGTTGATGGTGTATATTTGCTTAACCATTGGTGCAGCCGCACTAACCGCACGGGAAAGCGCTCCCGCACTTGAACTTAACTATATGTGTGTGTGTGTGTGTAAAAACGCCTTATGAGATCTTGTATGAAAAGTTGTTTGTGTATAATCATTTGAGGGTGTTTGGATGGTTGTGTTATGCACAAGACAAAGTAGGTAGAAGAGATAAATTTGTAAGTTGAAGCAGAATATATGCTTTTGTTGGGAAAAAAAAAAGAATGGAAAGTATACGACTTGTATACAAAATTGTTTTTTTTAAAAAAAAATTGTATTGTCATGTGATGTTGATTTTTTTTTTTGTTTTTGAAAACGTGATATTGATTTCTTTGAAAATAAATTTCATTTCAATCAACGAGACACAATTTAGAATTGAACAAGATGAGATCGTGCTTGGTGAAGGAAAAAAAATACAGTAACAAGTGGGGCATGGACACGAGTGATGAAGAAGAAGTAAGAAAAGTGATTATATTGGTGAAGATAATGACAAAGAGTGTGACAATAGGGGGAGAACTTGCGTGAATGAGATACGAACTAGGAATGAGAATTTGATAGAACAAAAAGATGAAGAGAGAAATGAGGAGCACAGTTAGTTAAAGCGTGGTCAGAAATGCACAATAAAAAAGAAATGCACACAATAAAAATACACCGTTAGATACGCATCACCAAAAGCGTACCATTAAGTATGCATAAAAACACCACACAGTGTTCGAAAATCCATAATTAGGTGTGGAGAGGTAAGAAACGGTGTATTTTTTTTTGGTGTGTTGTGCGTTTTAGGGTGTATTTGTGCATTTTCTTAAACTATTGGTGACTTTTTTAAGTAGTCGCACTGACTGCATGTTAAGGTGCGGTTGCATTTGAGCAGAAGTATATATATATATATATATATATATATATATATATATATATATATATATATATATATATGTAAGTGTAAAATATTACACATTTAAAACCCACTTAAGTTGGCTTAAATTAGTTGTCAAAATGGTTAGCTGTTAGGTTCTGGAGTAGTCCAGTGTTAGCGCCAAGATGCAGTTCAGGATCAGCGCCAGGATACAGCCCAAGAAAGGTGAGGCTTATTCAAAAATTTACTTTGGTCAAGACCCTACTTCCATGGCTTTTTAAATCAGGAGATGCAGTTTAATTTGAGGAATTGAAGGCTGCATTTTTTCAGACCAAAGAAGTTTCATATCATCACTATAAAATGCTACTTTGTTAAGCATTAAAGTTGAACCATTCAAGGATAAAAATTCTACATATCATTCCTCAAATCCTCCACTGGTTGTTCTATCAATATATTCATGTGTTGAAGGTTTCTCAACTGGAGTAGTATAGTTTATGCTTTAGTGTGTATTGTACTCCCCCTTGTACTCCTTGTTGATAATCTAGTGTATTGGGCTGACGTGAATAGCCCCGCAGACGTAAGAGTGAGGCTCCGAACTGCGTGAACATTTCCTGGTGCAAGGTTCCTTTTATTGCTTTTATAATTAATTTCTTTATTCTATCTGGAGTAGATACTGGAGCTAGTCCAGCTTAATAATTGAATTAAAATTTAGTAGGAACCTTTAGGTTATCTCTTGCATTCAAGATCTACGACCTTTTTCAATTGGTATCAGAGCCCGGGGACTTAAAATATTAGTCTAACCGAGTTGGCTTACTCGTGTTTCTTGAACTCAAGATCTCAGTTATTGTTCTTGATTCTAATTTTCTGGTCAATCTTCTTTTGCTTACTGTGCATTGAGTTTTGCAGAATGGAACGACATAGAGCACCTCCTGAATTAACAGGTGACAACTATGCGTACTGGAAGGCGCGTACCAAAAGGCACCTACGAGCTCAAGGGGAGATTGTAATACCCCACTTTTCTTAAACTTAATTAACAAGCTAAACCTTTAAAGATAAACTAAAGCAGTGGATTAAAACAACTAAATAAACATAAAGAGGTGTCACCGCCACAGTCACTGCCCACGGTGACTACACAGGCTATAAAAGGAATCTAAAAGAGTCAAGCTCAAAGTACTGCAACCAAACTTGGGGAACAGAGCCCCGGTGTTCAACACCAACAAAAGATAAGATAGTCAACTACAAATCCAAAATAACATAAGAGTTTAGACTATAAAGTATCTAAGCTAAACTAGTCTAACTCGTGCTCTCTTTCTTACGAACTGGGCCCACCTGAAAGGGGTTAACACACAACAAGTAGAAAACAAACTCGTTAGCACGAAGCTAAGTATAATGCTACTCAACCCTGTAAAGTAATACAGTATATACTTTTAGAAAACATTTGTTTCATATTCTTAGATCAAACAACTTAATCACTTAATCATACTTGGCATTAACTTCTAGATGTTTGCATCCTAATAACGAATAGGCATACTTATATAACAAACATCACATCACAACCTCAAAACTTGTAAACAAATCTAAAGCTTTCTCATGTAATCAATTAAGCAATCTCATGCTATCAAATATCTCGTACAGCAATCTCGTGCTCTCTACTGCTAATCATGCAATCTCGTGCAAGACATATAACTCATAAGCAATCTCGTGCTACTAATCATCTAATCTCGTGCAAGGCATATAACTCATAAGCAATCTCATGCTGTCTACTGCTAATCATGCAATCTCGTGCAAGAAATATAACTCATAAGCAATCTCATGCTCTCTACTATGAATCA